TAGGTTGGAACATAATTGATAATAATAATTGATATGTTTCTTTTATAGAGTAAGCTTTGTTAGGGTAAAGGCTTCATATCTTTATCATACACTTTAATATGCAAAACAACATCAACTAGTAAAGCACGACACTCTGTAAATTTTTTTTCTCCCATGCAATAAGGTGTTGACACAACCTCCAACCATCACTGTCATGATCCCACTCCAACTTGTTCATCTCAACCACTCAAATATTATTCTCTACTGATAACTCAACAATTAGCTAACCATATTTCACAGCGAGTCTTGGAAGCCACTTATCCTTCTAAAATAATGTGTTTTCTCCATCTTCAACTACTATCGTAACATTATCTTTGAACCAATCAATATGATTCAAAACAACATCTTCTCCAACAATAAGCAAATCCTTCCACCATCTCTGACGCCTTCAACTCCACTCGAATTCTATTATCCTTTATCTCATATTTTATACTTAAAATTTAAACCATATTTACAAAATTATATTTAATTTATCTAAGATATTGTGATTTTATCTTATCAAATTTTTGCATTTTAAAAAATTAAAAAAATTTAGAAATATTTTAAGGGTCATATATAATTAAATAAATAAATAAAAGGAAAAATGATAACATACATTAGAAAATATGCTGTAAAAAAGAACTTAAAAAATTATAAATATTTAATGGGGATTAACTAACTTAGCTTCTTTTTCCAATAGTAATAAATTTTAATAATGTGTAAATGTTTAAATTATTAAAAAATACTTTCAAACAATTAAAGTGTGATTTATTTTTGCTTTAAAAATCATATGATTCATATTGAATCAAACTCTAATGATATTATTTTTTAGAATGTTAGATCAAAGCTGATTTCTGTTAAATTTTATCTTTCTAATGGATGGATGAAATCTTATTTTTATTCATTCACTTTCGATTATCAGAATTAGTAATTAAATCTTATCTAGAGTATGTAGATTATGCCTTATAGTTTTATGTTTTGTTTATCGGTGTTACGTTTTGGTCATGTTGTTGTTGTAATTAAACTTATGTATTTTTTATAGTACTCTTTGTGTTGGAAGATTTTTTTTTTTTGTGGTTAACATGTCTATTTGGTTTCTGTTCTGAACTGAGCCAGCACTTGCTCCATCGTTGGGGAGGTCCAGTCCAGTGTCTCTATCAAAGGCTCAAAGTTGCAGCCCAACGTAATGACTGTTTGGCATTTCCCCACGTGTCCGCTAGGAAGACGTTTCCCACGTGTCCAAACCGTCATCATACTGTCATCTGGAAATAACAGGTCCAATACCTACTTTCTCGGGGGTAGTTGACCATGGAGCGGACCACGTGCTTGACTTCATACACACGTAAACCCTGACAGTCTTCTTTGTTCGGTTTCATCATGGCCCATTATTGAAGACTTTGTCCAACATTGAGAGCTATAAATACTCTCTCATTTGAGAGAGTCGGACATTGATTCTTTAACTCACATACTCTCATACTTGTTAGCACTCTCTCTGAATCTTACTTTAATATAGGAGTGTCTTACATGTACTCCTCTCATTTCACTTTCAACCGTTGCTTGACAAAATATTCGAAGGCCTTAATAATCTCTTCTGGTCAGGTATGGTTAGTTGCTTAAAAGGAAAATTCTATAATAAAAAATTAAAAAAAAACTAGAGTAAAATTTATAAATTTTTTATGTGTGCACGAATTTGAGATAAATGCGATTGGAGAAGATTGAGGTCATGCAATATGGAAGTAGGTAACTTTACGGACGAACTTTTTTTGTTGAAGAAAAAAGTCACCAACTTATTTATGGTTTGTCACGTCGAACCATCCTCAGCTTTACACGTACGTAGAAACTTTTTTATTTATTTTTATTATTAATAATAATTACTCGTAATAATGAAGAAATAAAAGTGAGACTATGTAAAAAGAGCGCAAAAGAATTATAAAGGTACTACATATTCATAATAAGTATTAGACAAATTATTCGGTTCATTTAATACTTAAACATTTTAACTATTACAATTATAGTTATAGGACCTATAAGCCAGAAAACCTATAGGACCACGATGAGAAATACTATAAATGTCTCATAAATACAGTTAAGATATTAACTAAGTGTTTTTTTAGGAATAGTAACTGTTACTAAATTCTTAGTATCCAATGTATATGAATTTTATTTTACAGCTAAATTAGCAAACTTAAGTTAATATAGTATCATTATATTAGATTTTATATTTTTGATTAATATTTAAATTTGTTATCTTTTCGAATAATTTATATTTATTAACTTATATCAATTTTAAAAATAAAATAAAAAACTAGAAATATGATTTAAATATGCTCTTGAGATGGTAAAAATCTCTCTCAGTTTAATTAGATTAATTCGAGATTTTTTGAATTAGTGTTAAATCTCTTGAGAGAAATTTTTATCGTGTGTAGTTTTATCCAACTCAAGAGATTAATCTATACAATTATGCACGAAAAATATTTACTTTTGTTATAATTTAAATTTACATAAAAACTTACATTCCCACCGCAAAACGGGTTTGTCTACACAATTTATGGCCCAACAACTTATTCACCCAATTTTCAAAAGATCAAACTTCCATTCCTAACCAATATTTATTTGGTCACAAGTCACACCTCTTTAACCCACACACACTTCTCCATACTCACGTACTCAAAAAATTTAACAACACAAAATGGAATTGCAACCAAACCTACTAGCATTATTATCTTCACTTCACATTTTCTGTCTCATTTTGATCAAGACAAATGCAAAGGTTCCGGCAATTATCGTGTTCGGCGACTCCTCCGTTGACGCCGGGAACAACAACTTTATTCCCACGGTTGCACGGAGCAATTTTCAACCGTATGGACGTGACTTCCTGGGCGGAAAAGCGACCGGAAGATTCTCGAATGGGAGAATACCGACCGATTTCATATCAGAAGCTTTTGGTATAAAAGAATATGTGCCTGCTTACTTGGATCCTAAGAATAATATTTCAGATTTTGCAACTGGTGTCAGTTTTGCCTCTGCTGCTACTGGTTATGATAATGCAACTTCAGCTGTACTTGTAAGTTTGTATTGTCTTTCAAATTTGTTTCTACTAGAGCAAAGATCTTAGATCCAACTATAAGTTCTTTTTCTGCCACTTCTCTGTTTCTCATATAAGAAAATTGAAATCATTTTCTTGTTTCATAAATTTTGAAAAGAAAAAAAAAATTAAATCTAGCTTATGATCTATACTAAGTTGCTACCATATATAATATTCAGAGCCATGGGTAAAGCAGGCTACCACACAGAGCCCAACAGTTATCACAGATAAACTGAGATTAAATAGTCTCATAAAATATTTGTCACGGTTAAATTTTAGTAAAATAAGATCTTTATTGGTTTTTCCATAAGAAACTTGAAACGGCTCTGATAATAATACAAATTATATGATATTTGATGCAGGGTGTGATACCATTATGGAAGCAATTAGAGTACTACAAACAATACCAAAAGAATCTAACTGCATATCTTGGAGAAACCAAAGCAAAGGAGAGCATTTCTGAATCGTTACACCTTATGAGTATTGGAACAAATGATTTCCTAGAGAATTACTATACCATGCCTGGTAGGGCATCACAATACACAATTCAACAGTACCAAACTTTTCTCGCTGGAATTGCCGAAAATTTCATAAGGAGTCTATATGGTCTTGGTGCTAGGAAGATTTCCCTTGGAGGGGTACCTCCCATGGGATGCTTGCCATTGGAGAGAACTACAAATTTTATGGAGCAGAATGGTTGTGTTGCAAGCTACAATAACGTGGCACTTGAATTCAATGGTAAACTCCAGAATATAACTACTAAGCTCAATCAAGAGCTCCCTGGATTGAAGCTGTTCTTTTCAAATCCATATCACATTATGTTGCACATCATAAAGAAACCTGAACTCTACGGTACGCTACTGCAGAAGATAATCTAGTTTAGCACTTTCCTATATATATATTATAATTATGAAACATGTTGTCTTTCTTTTGATCACAGGGTTTGAATCAGCCTCAGTGGCATGTTGTGCTACTGGAATGTTCGAGATGGGTTATGCATGCAGCAGGGGCAGCATGTTCAGTTGTTCTGATGCTTCCAAATTTGTGTTTTGGGACTCTTTTCATCCCACGGAGAAAACGAATAGTATCGTTGCAAAGTATGTGGTGGAGCATGTTTTAGCTCAGCTTTTAGAATAAACAGTATTATTACTTGTGGAATTTTATGTATTGTAGTCTCACCACTATTTGATGTTTATCAGTATGGTTTTCTGCGTGTCGATGTGTGTATAAATATATATGCGTGTAACAATGTTAATACAGCACTTCCATTGTAAAAAGTGCTGATGTTTAGAATAATTAGTCATTTTGTATGGACTAATATTATAGGTTTCCTCTGTGTATTCATCTTCATATATGTGTTATATATATATATATATATATATATATATATATATATATATATATATATATATATATATATATATATATATATATATATATATATATATATATATATATATATATATATATATATATATATATATATAGGTAGCATGTTGTGTTCGAGTTTATAAATCTAAAGGATGTTTTGGAGGGTGAAAACTGTTCTTAAATAGGGTGCGAATTAACATTTATTCCTTAAAAAATACAAGGTTTCTCAAAAATAGGATTTGAGAAATTTTGCCCCAAAACCAAGCAACAAACGCTATTGGTGACGACGGCTCATAACCCAATAGCTTTGCGCTTAACCCTATTACTGCTACATTATTCTGCAATAATGCGCTATTGACAACATAGACTAATATTATTTCTTGAGTCAGAAAACTAAGTGACGATAAGAGCTTGATTGATTCTCAGTAAGCAGATGAGAAAATAATATTTAAACAAGACTAAAATTTAACCAAAGTAAATGCAAGGTTTAGCCAAGCATGTATATCTCAAAACTTATAAGGAGCGGTTAATCCTTATAATTGTTAGATAAGCTATTTATAGTTTGCCAAGCTGTTGGACCGAGGTGCACATTCACAAAGAGTTTTAGAAACTGTTTCTCATGACTTGAAACTATGGTACTCAAGTGAAACTCGCGATGTATTGCATTCCTCTTCTTCAACCACTCATACATTGCAAATCTTGCGAAAATTTTGTCCAAATCATGGGTAAAATACGTTGGAAATCCCACGAGAGATTCTATTAGGAACTTGCTTTACCATTCCAACTACAGTGTTATATTCCAAACCAGCTTCAACCAAGCAATCAAATCTCTCTAGTAACTCATCACCTCTCCCTTCAAACATCTTCGTAGCTATTTCCATCTCCTCAGAGTTATCGGTATACCCCAGTTTCCGCAAGAAACTTGTTTTCTCCAAATACCTATGCGGGTTAAAGTAGAATTCATTTAAATCTTTCTTCTGCTTCGGTGTTAAAACCAAACTAAAAAATTATAATGGATCATCCTTTATCATTTCGCATAATTTAGCTTCTCTAACTCCCAACTCTTTATGGACAATTCTATAACCTTTTATTGAATGTTTGCTAAGGATATACATGTAGTTATACAAAACATCAACAATAACATCTTGTTCCATTCGAATATTATGCAAAAAAGCAATTACCAACATCAAATTTGCCACCTAGACCCATCTTCGACACATTATAATATACCATAAAAGATTCACTTAGATTCAGCAAAATCAAAACTGGAGCAGACTTCAACTTCCTCTTGAGTTCTTGAAAACTCTCTTCGCACTTTATATTCCGAACATAAGTTTGACCATTTCGAGTCAACTGACTCAAAGGAAAATCTAACTTTAAGAAGTCTTTGATGAACCTTCTGTAATAACCAGTCAAACCCATAAAATTTCTGATCTCAGTAACCGACTTCGGAGTTTCTCAATGTAATACAACATCAGCCTTCCACGGATCAACAACAATACCACCACTAAAAATCACATGTCTGAGAAAACTCACCTCTCGTAACCAGAACTCACACTTGGATAACTTGGCATAAAGCTTCTTCTCTTGCAAAGTCTACAACACAATCCTCAGATGCTCCACATGCTCTTCATTAGACTTAGAATATATCAGAATATCATCGATGAACACCACCACAAACTGATCTAGATAAGAATGCAAAATCCTATTCATATATTCCATAAACACACCTGGCGCGTTAGACACTCCAAACGACATTACTGAATACTCATAATGACCATATCTCGTTCTGAATGCAGTATTCAGAATATCTTCTGATTTCACGCGAATCTAATGATAACCCTATCTTAAATCAATCTTACTGAACATCCAAACACCAACCAACTGTTCCATCAAATCATCAATTATCGGAAGAAGATACTTGTTTTTTTATCATAACTTTATTCAGTTATCGATAGTCAAGACATAACCTCATGCTACCATCTTTCTTTTTCACCAACAACACTAGCACACCCCACGACGAAACACTAGGTCGAACAAACTTTTTCTCAAGAAAATCTTCCAATTGTTTCTTCAATTAACTCAACTTTGATGCTGACATACGATATGGAGCAATCAACACAGGCCTAGTACCAGGTGTTAAATCTATGGCAACTTCAACTTCTTGCTCCGGAGGCAAATCACAAATACCACCAGGAAACTCACACCATATGCATATCACTATCCACAACATCGCTCTCCAGTCTCAAGGAAGCGAACATCACGAGCACCTCATCATTGTCCTTCAAAGACATTTTAACTTGACCAGCGGACATGAATCTCAAATGCATACTCTCTTTGAGTTTGGGAAACATCACAATCTCAACATTACCTGCATTTTGAAATCAGCGACGCATTGGCCCAACTCTCCATACCTGAAATATCTCAAAGAAACAGAAGTTTCTCTCCTACTTGTTTCAATCACACTCCTGATGGAAAAAGTTAGAAAAATAAATGAGCACCGATAGTGTTTCACACAAATGTCGGATACCAAGAAACAAACAACATCACAAAACTTGGCCGAATGGACCGACCTACTCTGATACCACTACGTAACAACCTAAACCTTTAAACTTATATAAAAAGAATTAAACGACAATTTAGGATGTCACTCGACAAAACATGCATACTTCCAACAATACAATTCAACATCTCAGAACGAAATTTAATAACATCATATTTCAGACAGTTACTTCAAAAGAAAAATTAATCAACAACTTAATTCATAAATTAATTCAAAAACAACTGAAACGCCTCACTCCTGGTGTTACAGATCAAAGCATCTCAAACCAATTAAAATAACGATAACGAAAATAAACGAAGATAAACTCCAAGGCTCTATTCCCAACTCACAGCAGCTAAATCACTCCTTTTGAATATATGTACAATAACCTATCAAACAACAAAGAAAAGAGAGTGAGAATAAACTTTAATATATTAACGGTGTAAAGAATACGAGGGTAGATATAAAATACATCACAACATTAACATTCATCAACACACCAATTCACAACCAATTATTCTTACTCGACACCATGAATAATTCACACCAACATCACAAAACTTATATGTGTGCAATGTGACTCACGATTCGACATTATGCATGTGATACCAACTCAATGTTTAGTTCTCTCAAGAACCAGGTCCCCCCGTCTGAACCCATGAGCCCCTCCTCCTCCCCCCCCCCCCCCCCCTCCTCCTCTCTCAGAACTCCAAGCCCCCTTTATGAGCTTGGGACAAGTCACTAGTCCCCTCTTCTGAACTAACGAACATGCCTCTTTCAACGACTCGACATAAAAGATGCATGTCATATAAATCAATGCAACAACAATAACAATGTTTAAGGCCCTCCTTCTGACCCTAAACAACATGCATTGATAACACAATAGAAGTCACCCCTTTTGAACTACTATCCAACAATGCATACAAGCATACAAATAATTTTCCCTTCTAAACTATCCCATAACACAACAATCGTAATTATGTACACATCACATAATTGATCACCATTCACCTTAGCACAACAATCTCAATTATATACACATTACATAACTAATCACTAATCACCATAACACAAATCGCAATTTTGTACACATCACATAATTATTCACCAAAACACACAACTCGTACGACTAGTAGCCATCATGTCATAATCGTATCATTATTCAACAATCATCCTTCAAAACATATCACAAGTAAACATATTATCCATGTTTTCAAATACATATAAGACCTCAAAATAATCATAATAAGATAGTATTTCACGCCAGCTACCCAACGCTTCGAACCGCGCCGCAAACAGAGTCACGAAACTCAAGTTACACCAAAAATACAAAATTCAGGGAGCCGCTACGATCCGTAGCAGTGCCAAAAGCCCAAAAACCTTGTTTTGCGATTTTCCTCCATTGGAGCACTTTCGGAGCTCCGATTTCGATTCCGTAAAAACCAGAACGCTTAGAATTCATCATACAATAATTATAACATGAGTTTCATATCAAACAACATCAAATATACATATTATACGTAATTAAACAACACCCAATTACCATTTAACACATCAAAATCAACATTTTTTAATGGTTTAAGGTTATGTATCCAAAGCTTCAAGAACACAACAATGGTAATACACAATTCAGAATTTAATCATACAACTCATGTATAATATCAGCATATTAGGGAGCACGAAATTCGTACGTTGACATAGCATATGACATGGATTTCCTCGTACACACACCAAACATTCATAAACAACATCAATGACAAAACAATTCCTAGAGGATGGTGAGGATTTCTCTCTATCCTTCATAAATCACACCTATATCCAAGTAGTTTCCCCCCTTATCTAAATTTCCAGCAAAAGTTTTTCAACAATGATGGTTTCCTTCTTCTTTCCCAAAGCCCTAGCCTCTCTTAAGTCTTTGCCTCTTTTTCTCTCAAACTCAATTTCACAGTCATTGAAAACTCAACTTCTCACTTCTCCCTTTTTAATAAAATTATTTGCCGCTTTTAAGTAATTCATCTTCTATCCCCACTTATCTCCTCAATCCTCACTTTACCCTTACTACCTTATTTTTCTATTTATTTTATAATTAAATCTAATTTCCACCAATATAATATTAATCAATTATTATTTCTAATTCCCTTATTAGTTTGGAGATACATCTCTGAAAGGTTTACGTAGATGCATCTCTGGACACTATTCGTTCAAATAAACGCCAGAGCCCCTTCCCCTTCCTCACTTACGCAAACTCTTTTCAAAACTCATTTTGGAAAACACTCTTCCAGCTCATTTTCTCAAACTCACTCATAACGCACCCAAGAAACATCAAAGAGCATCAATCTTCATCAAACATATGACTTCAAACAACATTGAGCAACAACAATCAATTTCAATACATAAATTGTAAGTTTTTTGTAAACTATATTGAGTTTATATAAAATTGTGTAGAAGTTGATTTTTAGGTTATGAAATCGAAAGATTTTAAGTGTTTGATAGCTTAAAACTAATGATGAACAATATAGTAAGGTATTTTTTACGATCAATGGATTATTTTTTATGTTTTATGGGTCTGCATTCTACCATTAACGGTGCTTGGAGTTGTAGGAATTTCGGGTGATGCATATCCGGAATGTTTCAACGTTTACCCAGAACCGAATATGCATCTCCGTAAGTAGTTTGTGCAATGTTTTTGCCTTTTTTTTTTGTAATGAACTCATTGTATAATGCTCGTCTTGTCTATTTACATGAATTATGACTAAAAGACGGTCCCGATTGAGACACGGCAGGCTTGCACAACATACATCCATTCGGAGGAAAAAGAGTCAGCAATCACAAACCCGTTCTACCTTTAGACCGGTTGATGCATAGGCGTTAGAATCCAGGACTCGTGTATCTTCAAAAACATATATTCCATTGTTACGTCAATCACCGTGAGACGATTTCCTTTGATGACATAGTCTTATACTCAGGATAGTTGGCTTGTGTATCACGTTTGGGATCTCCTTATCTACCTAAGTGTGTCATGCATCAGTTCGGCTACATGAAATACATTCCTAGAGATCTTTATGTATCTGTCCCTCCCATTGTGAAACGTAGAGATATGGATGTTATGTTTGGTGAATATGTTATTCAACTGGTACCAGATGAGACACGAAGTACCATAGTTGAGAACGACGGGAGCTACGTAGGCAATTACATCCGGTGGTTCTTCTGGGTGTCACATCCTTACATGGTACATGATGCTCTAAGAGATCCACCTAGGCCAGCTCATCCAGAGATATTAGAGGAGGAGCAGGCTAGGACAAAACTGATGTTGATGTCTTGCCTAGGTGTCGTCGTATCATGAAGATTTGGCAGGCAAGTATTAATGAAGGACTCTTTCTAGATGACTTTGAGGCGATGGGCGTTGTAGATGTCATGATGACGGAGGCTCTGCAGTACAAGAGGCAACATAAGTACAGGGGACATGAGGCTGAGGCCAACTCCGAGTCCGTCATACGCGGTAGATTATAGTACTTGTACTCTTGATACATTATGAGTTGTATTTTATTTTCGACTTTGTTGTTACTTTTGGATTGAATTTATGTACTTTTTACTTATAACTTTATGTATGTCATTTTCTTCGTAGCCTTAGTATTGTCGAATCATAGTATAAAGACATAGATGCATAATCAAAATTTGTTATATGCACTAAACACAGAGATACGTCTTTGAATACTTTACGGAAATGTATCTTCGAACCAAGCTTACGTTTAACAAAAAAGAAAAAAGCTTTCGTAGATTCATCTCCGAACAAACTAACATTTAACAATAAAAGGTGCATCCGAAAATACATCTCCGAAAATTGAAGATCATTTTAAGAATTACATAGGGTTATTCTCAAGTACTTAGGGTGGATTAAGATATTCCCTTAAATTTTACTAAAATAAGACTTTTATTGGTTTTTGCCATAAAAAAACTACGACTAACTACACATAGCCTCAAAAAACTTAAATGACTGATAATAATACAAATTATATGATATTTGATGCAGGGTGTGATACCATTATAGAAGCCATTAGAGTACTACAAACAATACCAAAAGAATCTAACTGCGTATCTTGGTGAAAAGCAAAATAGAGCATATCTAAATCATTACACCTTATGAGTATTGGAACAAACGATTATCTAGAGAATTACTATACCATGCCTGGAAGGGCATCACAATACACAATGCAACAGTACCAAACTTTTCTCGCCGGAATTGCAGAGAATTTCATATGGAGACTATATGGTCTTGGTGGTAGGAAGATTTCCCAAGGAGGGTTACCTCCCATGGGATGCTTGCCATTGGAGAGAACAACAAATTTTATGGGTCAGAATGGTTGTGTTGCAAGCGACAATAACATAGCACTTGAATTCCAGAATATAACTACTAAGCTCAATCAAGAGCTCCTTGGATTGAAGTTGCTATTTTCAAATCCATATCACATTATGTTGCACATCATAAAGAAACCTGAACTCTAGGTATGCTACTGCAGTAGATAATCTATAGTTTACCACTTTCCTATATGTATATTACAATTATGAAACTTATTATTATTATTAATTTGATTTACATGTCTTTCTTTTGATCACAGGGTTTGAATCAGCCTCAGTGGCATGTTGTGCTACTGGAATGTTCGAGATGGGTTATGCATGCAGCAGGGGCAGCATGTTCAGTTGTTCTGATGCTTCCAAATTTGTGTTTTGGGAGTCTTTTCATCCCACGGAGAAAACGAATAGTATCGTTGCAAAGTATGTGGTGGAGCATGTTTTAGCTCAGCTTTTAGAATAAATAGTATTATTACTTGTGGAATTTTATGTATTGTGTAGTCTCACCACTATTAGATGTTTATCAGTATGGTTTTCTGCGTCTCAATGTGTGTATAAATATATATATGCGTGTAAGAATGTTAATACAGCACTTCCATTGTAAAAAGTGCGGATGTTTAGAATAATTAGTCATTTTGTATGGACTAATATATAGGTTTCCTCTGTGTATTCATCTTCATATATGTGTTTTATATATATATATATAGGTAGCATGTTGTGTTCGAGTTTATAAATCTAAAGGATGTTTTGGAGGGTGAAAACTGTTCTTGAAAATTGTATTTGCATAGACTAAAAATTGGTGTAAACGTTAAACATAAATACTCAAAAATATAAAAATATGCAAACTACAAGAAACTGTCATATTCAATGATTCAATAACCCAAAGTGCATGCAATAAACTTAAATAGAGAGAAAAGGACATAACAGGATTCAATTGTAAATAAGAAGAATAACAAAACAATTGTTTGTGAGCAAGAATATAATAGAATGAAGAACATAATTTTACCCTTAAATCAGGTGCAAATTGACATTTATTCCTTAAAAAAAATACAAGGGTGATTTGAGAAATTTTGCTCCAAAACCACAATAGCAACGGGATAGCAGTTTGGGCCGCAACCAACAATTGGTGACAGCGGCTCACAGGCCAATAGCTTCGGGCTGAACCCTACCAGTGCTACATTATTTCCCTATAATACGCTATTGATAACATAGACTAAGATTGTTTCTTCCCATACTTCAACAGAGAGAATATTACCAACCCAACTTAAACATGCACCAAAAACAATATTTACATCACAACTTAACTTATAAGGAGCGGTTGGTTAATCGTAATATTTGTTAGATAAACTTTTTATAGTTTGCCAAGCCGTTGGACCTTCAGGATGTGCATTCACATAGAGTTTTAGAAAACATACCTCAGAAGCTGAAACTATGGTACTCAAGCATAACTCGCGATCTATTACATTCCTCTTCTTCAACCACTCATACATTGCAAATCTTATGAAAATTTTGTCCAAACTATGGATAAGATACGTTGGAAATCCCACAAGAGATTCTATAGGGTAACCTAAAGTGTTCCTTAAGAAATCAATCTTCTTTTGCAATACAGTTTTCCTAGGGCTTAGAATCTTAGGAACTCGCCTTACCATTCCAACTACAGCATTATATTCCAAACCAGCTTCAACCAAGCAATCAAATCTCTCTAGTAACTTATCACCTCTCCCATCAAACATCTTCATAGCTATTTCCATCTCCTCAGAGTTATCGGTATACCCAAGTTTCCGCAAGAAACTTGTTTTCTCCAAATACCTAAGTGGGTCAATGTAGAAGTCATTTATATCCTTCTTCTGCTTCGGTGTTAAAACCAAACTAAAAAACTCTAACGGATCATCCTTTATCATTTCACATAAATTAGCTTCTCCAACTCCCAACTCTTTACGGACAGTTCTATAACTTTTTATTGAATGTTTGCTAAGGTCGTGCATGTAGTTATACAAAACATCAGCAATAGCATCTTGTTCCATTCGAATATTATGCAAAAAAGCAATCACCAATATCAAATTTTCCATACGCAGACTTGACAATATATCAGGATGCTCTCTAAAAAAACAACAAATCTCATTCACGTCAAAACCCAACTTAATCAACCCACCTACAACCAAATATGCCTTCTTTCCTAAACCCTCCAACAACAATTTCGGATCCGCCTTAAACAAATCATACAATTCTTTCTCCGAATATCCCCCTTGATGAAAAAACTCTATACTATCACTAATCGCTTTCCAATTGAATCTATATCTTCTCGTAGAACACATACAAGTCACAAACCATCCACTGTCAATCCCAATTTTCTTCAACCAATCAAGAACAACAACAAACCGAGAATCAACCTCATCACCAACCAAAAGCAATGGACAACAAACAAACAGCTTCACAAGTGATGATTTACTCAACCCCAAATTCTCATAACTCTCAAATTTCTTCGACAAAACACCACTCGCATATCCAAAAACCTCTCTTGCTTCTCTATAAATCTTCCCCATCATATTCCTCGGAACCCCGTGATTAAACAAAACATGAAAATTCTCAACCAAAACACTATCATCACGAAGAAAAAACAAGTCTTTAGGCAAAAGTAACTTCAATTCCCTTTGTTTAATCCCTATACTCTCTAGAAAAGGTTCAAATTCATTAATAGGGTGATACATAAGATACCTTCTGAGAGCCCGAGGAAAATCAAAATCATCGTCTCTGTTGTTGTCTCTGACTCTGCATATAAGCCAATTGACGAAATGCGGAGAGTTTTTAGAGATAAAATCCGCGTCTATGAAAGTGTAACATTGAGTGTACTGAAGGTAATCACGTAGAGCAAGCCGTGCTTCGATTTTAGGGCGGCCTCTGATGCGAACTGGAGGTGGCGGAGAAGGAGCGGGAACAATGGCGGAATTTGAACAGCGGGGTGGTGAAGTTTTGAGAGAGATTGAAGAGATGGGGTTTTGGTGGGAGAGAATAGGGTTTTGGTGTGAAGGGTTGAAGAGAAAAACGAGGTTTGAATTATGCAGAAGCGAAAGGGTTACCATAGGGAACAAAAACATAGGAGACAAACAAGATGAGGGTGTTTGATTTTGCTGACAGGGTTTAAGAAAGTAAGGACAAATGTGTGGGAAATTAAAGTTAAAAAAAAGATTTTATTATAAAAATCACTATTAATATATATTCAATTAGAGGTATTTATGCTGCGGTTTAGACGATTTTGAACACAAAAATCATTCGAATTGTAAGAGAAAAAGTGTATGATTTGGCTTGGTTTGACTGGTTCTTAAAAAGAAAAACAAATCAAATCAATATAGTTGATTCGGTTTTGGTTAATTCGGTGTATTACAAAATAAATTATCAACTCATACATACGCATTTAGAGGATAACATAATTTTGTGTTTAGTCATTCATCCATTACAAAATAACAACAAAACTCATCGTATTATAAATTTTATAAACAAGACCTTGACGAATAATTATCTCTGTGATTGGATGCTCAATATGTATTAACATGACCCATGTTATATACTTGGGTAAGCCACACAATTCAAGGACAAAATGACGTATAAAAACCAACTACTCCTATATATTATAACTTGTCAGCTTTTAAGAGCAAAGATAACATCATTATAATCAAATCATAGAGTCACATAATAAGTATAGACACTTTGTATTACAGAGAAAAATTGCAAGTAAATTCTCAAGAAATATTGTCTTCAAGAGAATCAAAATTGTTTTCCTCTTCCTTGATAAATAACACCAGTCAAGCATAAGAACCACACCGAGGGTAGCAGTGGCATCAACCAGTGGTTCTGTAGCGGCAGTTGCTGGTTGGCATTTGGTAGGTGCAGGTTTACGGACCCTCACACCTGGTCTTTGCTGCAATTTCAATAACGAAATGAAGTTTTCTTACTTTGTCTGATGAGTCAAAAGTCTGTAATTTCCAATAAGTCATCAACAGCCCAAGAGGATGCAACATCTACAATAATGAAATGAATATAATCACAAGTACCTTTAGGCACACAAATAAAATGGAACACAACAACTTGTATTACTTTGTTGAATTTGATTCCACTAATTAAATCCAACTCATATACTCTTACAACATCTAATATCATTAGGAAGTACTTTTTTTTTAATATTTTAATTTATTTTTAGAAGTTATTCTAGATACTCAGAATTATTTAGGCCGATATTCAATAAATTATATATGAGTGGGAGTTCTTCTAATGAGTTGGAGTTCTCCTAGTAAGCACAAATCATAATACGTAGAATTATCATAATTAGTTTGCAACTTAACATAAATCACACTTATCTTCCATCTCTCAAAAACTATGAACATGAATCTACAATGTGGAATCAAAGAACTCTAAATTACTAGTTGTTTGAGTTTCTAATTGGAATACAAGTACCTCAATACTATGATAGAAAATTCAAAAAAAAAAGTCGTAATTATATGTGCAGCAAGTCGTGTTGTAATTAAATCCAACATATATATATATAAGGCTGAAGCAGTTGTCATGCTTGACATATCACCGTTGATAAAGTGCACAAAGGCGTCACTACTAGCCTTTGATCTAAGATTCTCCCCCAAAAGTGCAATAGCTGAAAGTAAACAAAATAACGATAACATTGATTCAAACACAAGGAACATATGCAAAAAATTCCGAACTACACACACATATGGATAGAGCACAAATTGACTGCATAATGCAAATGCTTACATTCTTATAACATTCATAGGTATTGAAATTGACAGTAGAATAAGGGAGACGATAAGCTATTGCCACCAAATTTCCTTTCCAAAATGCTCTAAATCTTTCTTCGATGACAATTTGTTAAGCTTCATACAAAATTCAAATAAAATGCATCAGAATCAACAAGGTTTTATGATGGATACTGTTGTATCCCAAAATTTGTCCTCTCATTTTTCAAGGCATTTCTCAAAGATTCTCAAGGCTGAAGCTTGCACAAGTATATTGGTTTTTTCCAGCACCAAGTTAAAGAGGAAACTATTGAAAAAATAAAAGGGGCAAAACATATAAAATTGTTTTTTTGACAAAATTAAAGAAAAAAGCAAGTGTACTTCGATTGGGCATATGCTGGCTGCATGCCTGCTTCGATTTGGACAAAATAGTTGCCTGCAAGCCTGCTTCGATTTGAACAAGTTTACTGCCTACAAGCCTGCTTCGGTTGGACAAGTTTGCTGCCTGCATGCTTGCTTCGTTTGGACAAATTTCGATGGGACAAAGTAACCATCTCTATGCATCCTTCGAATCCACTTGCACCAAGGGCCTCTTGCAGACTTTGCTTCATACAAGCTTCGTTTGAGCCAAGAGGTATCTTCATACAAAATTTGACTAAGTTCTTGCTTCCCTTGAAAGAGTGTCCTTCGATTCAGAAGGTAACAACCTTCTGAAAAACATCCTTCGGTTCAGAAGGCAATGGTCTTTTGAAAGTTTCTTTCGATTGCACCATTTAGGCCTCTTGCATACAAGCTTTGAATGCACCTTTGGCCTAATATGTTTGCCTTTGATTCATAAAGCCAGGAACTTCCCTCATGATAAATAGACACAAGGCAATGACTCCCTTTATGTTTGCTTCGATCCAAGCTTCGACTGGGCATTAGCTTCCTCCGAGCAAGCTTGCTTCGACCACAAGCTTCGAATGAGGCAAAGGCTTCCTTCGAACAAGTGTGCATCAATCTCATTCTTGCATTTGACTCAAGACCAAATCTCATAGTCTTATCTTCCAAATCTCACTTGTCAGGCTATGTTGCTTCCAAATATTTACATAATCAGAAGCTTGTACAAATATTTAAAGGTTTATCCACTGGATAATACCATTCATGGATGAAATGGCAAAAGGCTACGTACCCTTTTTTCATAAAGAGTACTTTAATCACAAAATCAGCTCTCAACCTGATTTTTGTCTGAGCACAAGCAACGCCAAGTCAAATCTTCTGTACCCAACTGACATCAGGCCCCCACTTGTACTTTTTTGTTTTCATATTTTATTTTTTGCAAAGCTGACTACTTCAACATCTCCCAAGCATTTTCCTCTATAAATAGAGGAACCATGAACAAAGAAAGGGGTCCAGATTTGGTAGTGTGGAAAGAATCTTCAAAAATCATAAAGCTCTCAAACACTCAAACACTTGTGAAAGCAAAAAATCCCAGAATCTAACATTTACCTTTTTCGATTTTGAAGAGTCCCACACACTTTTGTTCCCCTTCGAATCGAGCAAGAAAGAACACTACACTTGTTCTTCTTCTTCAAACCCAGAATCCCAAACACTTGTCTCCTTCGAATCTGAAGCCTCCTTAAATCTTGTTACTCTTTCGAATCCAGCAATATAGACGTTAGCTTCGCTCATTCCCTTCGAATCCAGGGACATTCCATGCAACCACCTAAAGGCCCAACATACGTTCCAGTCTCCAGCAAGGTAAGTTGTTCCAAACCTTGAGCTTTTCGTTTCTGGTATAACATGTAAATAAGTTTTTCTTTCGTTTCAAGCATGTACATACCATTGTTCTTTTTGTTTCCACTCTTTTAATGTGTTATCAGAGCTAACCCTTTCGTTTTGCTTCTTGTTTATCTAAACATGCATTAAGTATTAAACTGGTTGTAAGGCAGTGCTAGCATGGCCTTAGAACATGTTGCTATTTAACATCTCAAATAGAAGGCATGCCTACACTGATTCCAGGCCCAGACGAAAAGCATGTCTATATCGATTCCATGCCCAGTAGAAAGCCACAACATGCTGACTTCCAGACACCAATCGAAAGACATAACATGCTGACCCCCAGGCCTCGGTCGAAAGCCATGCCCTCACCCCATTCAGACCAAATCGAAGGAAGCCAGAAAGTGAAGAATCGAAGGGTCTTCTTCCTCAATCGAAAGACCCTCATTTTTCTTGCTTTTATCTTATTTTTGCCTTTATGTTTTCATGCACTTCATATGATTTTAATAGCGTAGGATTTTATCTTTCTGCATTTTATTACTTTTGTATGCTTGCTAGTAAAATAGGACATGTACGGTAAGATAAAAATAACAAGTAGACAATCTATAATCAAAGACTAAATGCATGTAAATCAAACACACTATTCAAACATGTACCCCTAGGGTTAACTCCACTTGTTGCCTAAAAAATGGTCATGTTATACATGTGAGACATCTTAGCAAAAACAATCAAAATACAAGATCATAGTCCCTCGATGACGCTTCGAATGTTGCCTTACGAATGATCTTAGTCCCTCAAGAGAAATGCTAATATATCTCACAATATTGCTATCATGACTATACAAACATCCCATGCCTATCCCTTCACATACAACGATGGAGCTTCTTACCAAATCAATGGTAAGATAGCAACGTCTAAAGGAGGAGGAAAAGAATATTTAAGACCTTTTGAGTAGATAGATTGCTCCTAGTTGCTCGCTTGCTCGCAACAAAAACATTTTATATACCAACACTTTCATTTTTGAAACATTTTCAAAAGACAACATTTTCTATGCATTCTTATAGAGACGAGAACCATTACAAAAACACCCTTTTCAAAACCACTTTCAAAAACACATTACACAAACACTTATTTGAACTATTTTCCAAACAACAATGTGTATGCGTTCTTATAGAAACGAGAATTATTACAAAGGCACATTTTCAAAATACTTTCAAAACCATACCACAAAGCACACTTTCAAACAAAAGCAAGTGATCTAGCAAGCAACTAAGAGCCCATAGATAACTATGGATGAAAAGGGTGCTAATACCTTCCCTTTTCATAATCTACCCCCCGAACTCAAGAAATAATCTCGAAAGGTCTTTCCTGTTCTTTTTAGCCTTTCCTTATTGGATAAAAGAAAAGTAGGTGGCGACTCTTGATATCCGCAATAATTTCGATCAAACGCAAAATACCCAAGTCAGTTCTCCTACCGCATTACAGAACTGGCGACTCTGCTGGGGTTACCTTGTTTGACTTGCATGCTTTACATTATGGTTTCTTGTTTGGGCTTGTTTTGATCCTCTACCCGGATCTGG